CTGTAAGTCAATCTTTGCCCCTAAAGTTATGAGGGTGGTGATGTTTGTCAGCAGCATCAAGGGTTGATTTGCATGTTTGACACAGCAGCAGAATGTTAACAGAAAGAAAAGTTGGAACTAAGTAAAAATAATGAGCTGCTTGAGGTTGTCTGTGTTCCCGCTAACGGCTATAATACTCATATCATTAATCTTTATTGCAGCTAAACATAATGTCATTTCACATCAGGAAAGTTTTCAGTTCACCATAGACTTGATGAGATCCAGCAGCCTCCAGCCAAAACAAATCACATCTAGTACAACGCTCCTCCACTGTTAAATCTGAGGGGAAGCACTTGGTCAGATATCATCTTTAAAAATAAAGGAAACATCCTCTGAAATAGTCTAATTTAAACCAAAAGTGGTTTATTGAACACATTCCATCTCCTCATACATAATACTTGATAATTAAGCCTATAATTTATTATGAATGACTATTATTTCTGATGGTGACACAAGATCTGTACTAATGAAATATGCCATTGTACTCACCATTAGTAACCTGTAACCTGTTTTCCATTATCTGGGTTGCATTACCCAGCCAGCGATGTAGAAAGGAGGTTTTTATAGAAGCAAAAATAAACAGGCTTGATAAACTTTTTAGTCTGCTCGTTCAGGCAAGCATTAAGCTGGGGGGAATGTTATTTACAAGTATTTATTTATAATTTTAGGGTTTCTTCTGAGTTCCAAGCTAGTAGAATATTCCTATCATATTCCTGTGAAGGCTTATAAATTATGTTGTAAGGTATAGTGACCATGTGTTTTAATTTTTCAAATCAAATGTATAATTATAATCCCTGAAATACGTTAAAATATTCCTATAACTTAACATGCTTCTGTCTTACTTTCTCTTGTGTCTGTGTCTAAAGTAACAGAGGCTTCTCAACAGAGGGATTATTGAATTGTCTCATATTGTATTCTGTATTGTAACATATCCCAATTTCATTTCGTTTTTTGCATTTTATTTCGCAGACTCAGTTGGCTCATCTCTATCCAGAGGTTCAAGGCATCAAGGTGAAGAGATTTGTCTGCCAGTTGGCTGTCACAGGCTGTAATGCACAATCACACACTGTCAGCAGAATATTCATAATACACCCACAACAGGATGGCACTTGAGAGTCAGAATGCTAACTAATGCTATTTTCTTTAACACCCTGTGAGCTCAGGGCTGGTGAATTGTAAGATGACTGTGCCAATATCTCCTCAAACCAGAGGCCAGACCTTCCTAAGGAACTGAAAGGCACAGTCCAGACTGATGTTCAAGGAAAACACTGCTTGTATACAAAACTTTAACTCTTATACATTTTAAGTCTGGTTTTTAAGCCACATATAATACAAAAATATAGAGAGGGTAAGGGTTATCAGAGAGATTTCATCCACATCAATGTCTCACAGAGTCTTAGCAGATACAGATCAAAGATGGATCTTATCAAAAGAAAGAAAATACAGAGACCTATGCTATTGTGAACCCTATACACAAGTATCTGCAGAACTGCAAATAGAAGCTCAGGGTTTTTCTGAAGAAAAGTGGACTGACAGCTATGTAGACCAGAAAGAAAGACCTGGAACACCTCGAGGATACAAATAGGAAAACAGAGACAGGCCGACAAACACACATACAGTATAGACAAATATACAGAGGGTTTATGCGCCATGAACTAATAAATTATAGTCCTCATGTGGGAATACAGAATGTGCAGAAACAGATTGAGAGCGTTCACAGAGAAAACACCATGCCATTTACAGCTCCCCGTTAGGAATACCAAGGACCAATAAAGAAGATGTGAAAACACAGAGAGTGGCAGACATCGACAGAGAGTGTGTGCGCACGACAATCAGCAGTTAGTCATAACACCTTGTCTTGATTCTCTCACCATGTGATGAGTCGTTGATCTCTCATCCATGTGATGAGGCCGGCAGCGACAGCGGACCCACGGGGTAGCCAGCAGAGTTGGGTTCTTGCTCTCCTCCTCTTGTCGTCTCGCGCAGCAGCATCAAAACATGCTGCAGCGTATGATGCCCCAGACACAGCAATTGAGCCGAGCCCCGCCGCCGCCACACAGCCAGGAATTATTAGAGTACTACAGAGGGGGAGCAGCTAAGTTAGATACAAAAAGCGGCATCAGAGCTCATGTTTTGCCTCAAGCAACGGACAACCATTTTGACCTGGAAAACAGGGTCTCTTATGACTAATGTTTCCCAGCAAGTGTTTTACGTAACATTACTTTTGGGGAAATGTCCCTGTTAGTTCACTTACCCGTTAAAGGCAAGGCGATGCAATTGTGTTGATATATCAGACACGTGTGTAGCAGATTTAATTACAAGTAAACTCAGTGTGTTGTGAAAGAATTCAGGCAAGCATAAGCTGGGGAATGTTATTTACCAAGTATTTATTTATAATTTTAGGGTTTCTTCTGATTTCCAAGCTATGGACTATTCCTATCATATCCTGTGAAGTTTATAAATTATGTGTAAGGTATAGTGACCACTTGTTTTATCATTTTTCAAACAAATGTATTAATTATAATCCCTGAAAATACGTTAAAATATTCCTATACTTAACATGCTTCTCTGTTTACTTTCTCTTGTGTCTGTGTCTAAAGTTAACCCCCCCCCCCCCCCCCCCCCCCCCCCTCCCCCCCCCCTGGGCTCCTCAAACAGAGGGGAATTATTGAATTGTTCATATTGTATTCTGTAATGTAACATAATCCCAAGTTCATTTCGTTTTCTTGCATTTTATTTCGCAGACTCAGTGGCTCACTCTATCCAGAGGTCAAGGCATATCAAGGTGAAGAGATTGTTCTGCAGTCTGTCACAGCATGTAAGCACAACACCACACTGTCAGCATAATTCATTCATAATACACCCGACAACAGATGGCACTGAGAGTCAGAATCTATACTAATGCTATTTTCTTTAACAGCCCTGTGAGCTCAGGCTGGTGAATTGTAAGATTGACTTGTGCCAAATCTCCTCAACCAGAGCCAACCTTCCTAAGAAACTGAAAGCACTAGTCCAGACTGAGTTCAAGGAAAACACTGCTTGTATACAAACTTTAACGCTTATTACATTAACTCTAATACATTTCTCTGGGACTTCCAGTCTGTTTAAGCCACATATAAACAAAATATAGAGAGGTAAGGTACAGGATGATTCATCCACTCAATGTCCACAGACGTAGCAATACAGATCAAAATGATCTTATCCCAAAAGAAAGAAAATACAGAACATTTGCTATTGGAGACCTTATTACACAAGTATCTGCAGAACTGCAAAATAGAAGTCAGGGTTTTCTGAATAAAAGTGGACTGACAAGCTATTTCAGACCAGAAAGAAAGACCTCGAACACCCTCGAGGATACAAATATGAAAACAGAGACAGGCCGACAAACACACATACAGTATAGACAAATATTACAGAGGGTTTATGCGCCATGAACTGAAAATTATAGTCCTCATGTGGAATACAAATGTCAGAATTACAGATGAGAGCGTTCACAGCAGAAAACACCATGCCATACAGCTCCCCAGTTAGGAAACCAAGACCAAATAAAGAAGATTGAAAACACAGAGAGTGGCAGACATCATCAGAGAGTGGGCGCACGACACATCAGCAGTTAGTCATAACACCTGTCGTTGATCTCTCATCCATGTGATGAGGCCGCAGCGACAGCGGGACCAGGGTACCAGCAGGAGTTGGGTTTCTTGCTCTCCTCCTCTTCGTCGTATCGGCAGCAGCACAAAACAGCTCAGGTAGATGGCCAGACACAGCAATTGAGGCCGAGCCCCGCCGCCGCCACACAGCCAGGAATTATTAGAGTACTACAGAGGGGGATGGGTGAGGAGTGGATGACAATAAGCAGCTAAGTTAGATACAAAAAGCGGGCATCAGAGCTCATTTTTGCCTCAAGCAACGGACAACCATTTTGACTGGAAAACAGGGTTCTTATGATAATGTTTCCCAGCAAGTTTTTTACGTAACATTACTTTGGGGAAATGTCCGTTATTCACCTTACCCGTTAAAGCAGCGATGCAATGTGTTGATATTCAGACACGGTGTGTACAGGATTTAATACAATAACTCAGTGTGTTGTGAAAGAAATGATCTGCATAGTTAAAAGGGCAACTACAACCATTGAAAAAGACTTACACTGCATGAAATCCCAGCAAACTATGTC